TTGAACTGTAGTGTTAACTAAGTCTCACTTCTTTTTAGTAACCAACAGTAGTGTTCAGTTGCAATTTGAACAGTTAAGGACTAAGTCCTTTTGGTTTACTTTTTTACTGACTTATAAATAACCTACCAACAACTGTCTTTGGGTTCTCATGCGACTGAAACTTTCGTCGTAATTCCATCTTCATTTCTGAGTGCATTCTTCATTTTATTATCTAACATAAACTAAATGGTAGTTAGCTAATTTCCAATAAAGTTTACTTGTTTGGTAAGTACAGCAGTTTTTGAGTACAATAACTGAACCCAACAGTATCACTAGATGTTGTAGATCCTCCGACCTACTAAGTGTTTACTTCTGAACACACTGTTCCGGTTGAACCTATTGGATTATGACGGCTTCGGCCATTCGAATGGGCGCAGAGTCTTTTGTCTGAAGACTACTATGAAGGATTTCATCGCATCTACTTGATGTTACGTATCAAATGTGAATTTAATCCACGTGTGCATGCGGTAGCAAATAAGTGGGAAGAGGACAGAGGTGGTTGTCTACCAGGACTGTCAAGCACGCGCCAAAGAGTCTACATTTGATAGGTTTACCTTCTTTCAGCAGTGAAATAGTTCCTCACTTATGTGATACGGGACATCAAGTAGATACGATGAAATCCTGCAAAGCGGCTAACAGATAAAAGACTTCGATCCCACTTTGAAATGCCGAAGCCGCCACTAGCCTCCAACTTACTCAATAATCCCTTCGGGTTGTATTTTGCTCAGTTTATTCAAGGGATTTTTAACCCAGTAACCTGTGCAAATTTTTACATAATGAAAAAATTGCAAAATATCTTCTTTGAAATAATGAATACTATAGCTGTTCACTGATAAAACTATATCATGTCTTGAAAGTATTCCTTATTTTTTGTATTCCTTATAAAGTGAGGTGAAGTGAAATCTTCACATCTCGTCAATGTATTTTATGTAATAAGGTAGATATTCAAGTTTAATCCAACGGCTTCACAGATTCAACAAACTGGTTTACACATGGTGAAATGGACTGGTTCTTTGAGAAATCTCACAGATGTTTGTTTCGAAAATTCAATAATATTAGTGAAATAACAAAATTGTGCTCGTACAAAGACTCATAAAGCTTTAAATGCTGAACACATGAAGATGACACATGCAAAAATAAAAGATGACCTATAGATGACTTGGTCTTTCGAAATAACTTTAATTTTTACTTTTTGTAGTAGTTTTTGTTGAGGAGGTATTCTCTTGGAACTGCTGTTGACTTAATGCCTAACATAGTCCGCTTAATATTAAAGAAGATAAGACTGGTTCAAATACGTCTCCACTTTCTTACAAAAATCCTCTTAACTCACGGAAACCACATCATACATAGTCGCTGTATCCTTAAATTCATTAGAAGATTAAAGTTAGGTAGTGAAACCTCGCTCAATAATAGTGCTGTTATGCAAAATTTAGGGCTAAAATGTTTAAAAAAATTAATTTCACTCCTGATCTATTGAGTTAACTGAAAAATGTATAATACAAAAGGGAAGCGACTTATGTGTTTGTAGATTAACAGGTACAGAATATATCGAAATTGGAGAGTTTTAATGTGTTTACAAAGCTTGAAGTTTTATTTCAACATTATTTTCAAAAACATAAAGCTTTTTAAACAATGACAGGTTTACTTTGTAATTCCTGTTTTAAAAAATAGGTGTACACACTTCAATAAATCGGATAGGTAAATAAATTCATGAAGAATGAGTGAAATCAGTCAGAGTATTTTTAAATGGGAGTAACAGTGACAAAATGTTTAATAAACTGCATGGACCCAAGAGTAAAACATTCATAAAACTTTTTAAAATTTATTGCACTATTATGAGTCTTGTTGCGAAATTACTAGATTTGTTTCCGGCAGAATTCATTAAAATCAACTTATTTCTAGGGTACGCCCCAGTTTTTTTCAGGTACAATGTCATTGAAATATACCTGAACTTTCACACATTTGCAAGGAGTTTTATCCTAGATAGATATTTGATATGAATCCTTTTGTATCAATAATGGCAGTGGACCGTTGTTCCATTCTTAGTTTACGCTCTTCAATGTAAACCAATAAAACATCCCTTATACGACTTTTATGTCAATAGTTGAGTATACCACACTACTATTCAGATAATTAGTCAGAATTCATTGGTTAACATTTTTTTAACCTCACTCAGTTAGTGATACAACATGAAGTAAATAAATGAGTGGAGAACGTAAAATAGCTGGGAAAGGTTTGAATTTTATCGCAGAGTAATTAGTAATTTAGAAAACTTGTACTAAAAAATGTTTATCTGTAAATTGAAATAAATGATGCTTAGATAAAATATCTTTTCTTTCTGTGTTAACTTTATAGAACATTCAGTATATACTTAAAAGCCTACTGGACTTTCTTTTTCCATATAGCAACATGAAAAAGGCATTGTGAGAGTTATTTCGATCTAGGCAATCACCAAGACCTAGGTTTCTTACTTGTTGGTACACGGCAGCATGGCGTATTTGCAATCTCGCGGTAACTGATGTTCCTAATGATATTTGAACCTGAAGCAACCACAGTTTCAGTTAGCGACGTTATGAACCTCTAATTCATATATAATGCTATTTTAGCCTCCTCAGCTGTATCATCCTCATCTTCTATAAGATTATTTCCTCAGCGGCGAAAATTAAACAGCATGAGATTAGTCGCCATATATTGAATAACTCATGTTTTTAATTCAGCCAAAAACTACCCTAATAACCAAGTTGTTCCGATACCGGTTGGTGTACTCTTTGATAAAGGTTCAGTTCAGTAAAACGGTGTGACGTTTATCAATGATGTTCTGAGAATCGAAAGGCAAGGGAGTTTCTCGAATGAATGTCAACGACGCTACAAAACAGCTAGTTACCTGGATATTTGTTTCCTAGTTTACTGCAGTTATTGAAGCCTTCACTTCTTTAAGTTTGAATCATTTTTCTAAGCCAAAATGATATACGATGTTCCCAACCGATTTTGAATTTGTTTTCGCTGGCAACATTTCAGAGGTCCTCAAAAAGCTACTGAGACCACTTGGAATTGGCGTGACTCATAAACCAACAAATTCAATTAAAACCAAAGGCTGCAACAACTAAAGAAGAAAAACTAAATGTTGTTTGCAAAACTAATTGAAACACCTTCGATCGGCGCTACATTATACAAAGCAGTCATCGTCTTCGTTTTTGTTCATATGAACATTAGTTGGTCAATAAATATCGTGAAATTTCGTCACATATGGAAACATATTGACAACTATGAACATGAGTTCGATTTGAAGATGTAAAGAACTTGAGAAGAAAGAACACAGAAAATACTACCAAGTTCCTTGAAACCCGGAATTCATTTCAGTCAGCGATTAACAAATGTACAAAAATGGACTGAATGATGTACACCTACAAGGTAGAGAAGTGATTGGCCGGAAAATCTAGGCAACCAGTGACACAACATTGAAAGGAAAGTTTCAATCACAGACCACTGCATCACGACTCCTTGCACAATATCACCCAAAGAGAAATCCTGACCAATGAATCTATATTTAAGTTAGTACTGATGATGTTGTCTAGAAGGACAATAGAAGTTTAACAATGAAACTTTCTAGCTCACATATCACCTTCTTACATTAAAACATGCCTAACTTAGGCTTCATTATTATCGTATTCTTAGCAGAAAATTCTAGTATTTTGGCTTAACAAACCTACGTGGTGTGCTTTTTCATTTTTCATTATTTTATTACTGAAGAAATACTATTTAACATTGACCAAATAAATTGATAGATTGTTTTGCTTCACTTATCTTGACTGTTTGCTAGTGTCAAATACAGATAACACATTTTAACATTAGATTTGTTTCTTTCATCGTTCCGTTTTGACGTTATCTTGTTACAAAACTACCGTAAGATGACAAGAACATTAGTTTCATTTTCTAGTTACTGTCAATCAAATATTGTGTACAATTGTGTTGGCGAAAATAAATCTGCTTATTTTTCTCATCATTTTTTGAAAACTGCTTGTAAATAATCAACATTTCAAACTCTGTAAAAACATTATACAATTTAATTTGTAGTTATTCTAAAACAACACTTTTTAAATGGTTAATGGTATCTTAGAAATAATCACTATTATTTTATTTTATATTCGATAAACAGTTTCCTTGAAGCATACTGTTTACTAAAAGTAATCATAATTGAA